TAAACATATATGAAGAATCTATTCTGTGCCAGGCATTGTTTTAGGTATGAACAAGGTGGAATTTCTCCTCAATAGCACTGAACTGATAGATGAATAAAGGCTAAATACAATGTGAGAGTTAAAGACAGAGGTACTATATAACTCAATAATTCCAGTGCTAGTTATATACACAATCCAAATAAAAACATGTTCACACGAAAACTCACTATTATTCATGACCAAAAGGTAGTGATAACTCAAATGTCTGATGGCTGTATAAATAAAACATGGCATATCCATACAGTAGACTACTAATCAGCAAAAAGAATGAAGTACAGGTGCATGCTGTAACATGAATGAACCTTAAACACAGCATCTAAAATGAAAACAAGTCTATCACAATGGGCGATCTCATTGTATCATTTCGTTTTGGTGGAATGCCCAGAACAGGCAAATCCACAGACAGAAGCAGATCAGTGGCTGCCCAGGGTTTTGGGGCTTGGAGAAAATTGGGTGTGACCAGTAATGAGTATGGAGTTTCTTCTAAATTTGATTGTGGTGATTGTTTATTAAATTTACAAATCATGGTTATGGGAAAATGGAAAGAACCCTGGACAGGTTACATCAGAAGACCTGGTTTGAATCCCACAAATATTATGCACCTGACTTGTTCAATGTCAGGTCCTTCGAATTTTCACTGCGTTATCCAAATTAGAAACATGGGAGTCACCTGAAATGCACAACTCCCATTTCATAGCTGCTGCTCACTGATTTAGTCCCCATTCCTATTGATTCTATTTCTTAAATACTTATTTTTTAATTTGTTTATTTTTCTCACATTGTTATTCATTTTTGTGCAATAAATAAATCAATCCCCATAAATTCCTATCACCACATCACCTGTAAACCATTACCACAGTATTTTGTGCTCTTTGCTTGCCTGTTTTGGCCTCTCTCCATCTTCCTCCCCTGCTGTACACCTTAGATTACTTGCAAGTTTTATTTATTTTTACCCTTTGTTCAGTTTCCCTATATTCTCTGCCAACTGAAGCCATCCAATATTTTAATTTCACTGAGCATAGTCCCTTCTAGCTTCATCCATGTTGCTGTGATTGGCATGAATTTATCTTTTTTGATTGCTGAGTAGTATTCCATTGTGTGTGTGTGTGTGTGTGTACATAGATATATATACATATTTACATACATACATACACACACACACCACAAATTGATCCATTCATCTGTTTTTGGGCATTTAGAAAGTTTCCATATCATAGCTGTTTTATATAGTGCTGCAATAAACATAGGAGTGCAGGTTACTTTTTGAATTAATACTTTTATGTCTTTTGGGTAATTCCTAGGAGTGGAATTCTTGAGTCACATGATAGATCTATTCTTAATAACTTCACACAGTTTTCCATAGTGATTGAACAATTTTGCATTCCCACTAACATTACAGAAAAAGAGGGTTCCTTTTTCTCAGTCTCCTCACCAGCATTTGTTGCCAGTTTATAAAAATATGGGCCATTCTCCACATCTTCAAACAACTAGCAACAACAAATGTTGGCGAGGATGTGGAGAAAAAGGAACTCTCCTGCATTGCTGGTGGGAATGCAAACTAGT